TGTTTTTGATCTTAGCCACTTAGTTTTCTTGATGTCCATTTTTTTTGAGTTATTTAGCAGATGCATAGTTGGTAAAAAAAAAAACAAATCTTTTCCAATTCTGTAGGCTGCTGCTTTGTCTGAGTGATGGTGTCCTTTGCCTTACAGAACTTTTCAGTTTCATTAGGTCCTATTTATTAACTGTATTCTTAGTGTCTGTGCTATAGATATTTGCTCAGAAAGTCTTTTCCTGTGCCAATGAGTTCAAGGCTAACCTCCACTCTCTTTTATTTCTGGTTGACACACTGAACATTATGTTGATGTCTTTGAGACATACAGAGTTGAGTTTTGTGCAGGATGATAAATATGGATCTATTTGCATTCTTCTACATGCAGCCATTCAGTCTGACCAGCACCATTTTTTGAGGATGCCATCCTTTCCCCCCCATATGTATTTCTGACTTCTTTATAAAAAATCAGGTATGTGAACTTATGTCTGGGTTTTAAATTTGATTCTATTTATCAATGCATCTGTTTTTTGCCAATATTATCATGCTGTTTTTATTACTATAACTCTGTAGTGCAATTTGAGATCAGGGATGATGATACCTCCAGGAGTTCTTTTTATTATTCAGGAAATACAATTCAAAATTATTTTGACATTTCATCTTACACCAGTAAGAATAGCCAAGATCAATAAAATTAATGACAGCTTATTCTGGTGAGGATTTGGAGTAAGGGAAACACTCACCTATTGCTAGTGGGATTGCAAACTTGTATAGCCACTATAAAAATCAGTGTGGTAGTTCTTCAGGAAGCTTGGAATAGATTTACCTCAAGATCCAGCTATATTACTCTTGGACATATACAAAAATGATGCTTCATCTTACCACAGGGACACTTGATCAACCATGTTCATTGTTGCTCTATTCAAAATAGCCAGAAATTGGAAACAGTCTAGATGTTTATTAATGAATGAATGAATGGATAAAGAAAATGTGGTACATTTAAACAATAAAATATTACTCAGCCATTAAAAGATGAAACAATGAAATTTTCAGGTAAATGGAACTAGAAAAAATTATCCTGAGTAATGTAACCCAGAGCCAGGAAGACAAATATGGAATGTATTTGCTTATATGTGGATAATAGTTGTTAAGTCATTGGTAAGCAAGCTACAATTCATAAAACTGACAGGGGTTAAACATAGAGTAAGGGACTGGAGGAAGAGATGTATGTCTCTAAGAAGGAGGACTGTTATAGATGTGGGTGGACAAGGGAGGTGTCAAAGAGGGAGGATCAAATAGGGAGGGCAAAGGTGAGGTAAAGTAGGGAATACAGAGAGGGACGATGAAAATTCAAGACTGTTTGAGGAGTCACATGGAATCCTAATACAGTAGATACTTCCAAACATATATACATATATGAAGGTGATTTAAATGAAATCACCAAAGAACGAATGGGGAGACAGAGTCCCAGATGGATATCTTTCATCCCCAAATGAATCTTCAGTACTGGGAATAGGTTACATCTAATTGAATTGTTGGTTAAAGGTGTCTGATGTGAACCCCCAAACAATCCATGCTATTGCTGAGGCTATTGGCTGCTCCCACAAACTGATGCTAAGGCCCTCTTGTTGATGACAACACCTACACAAATTGAACTCGGAGAAGTCAAGCTGGTACCCATGTAGAGCCTTCGCCCTTATAGACTAGTGTCCATGGTACTGGAAGGTACTCTGCATGCTACCAAAGGAGAAAAGGTAAACATCAACTCAGCTAAAAACCATAATCTGCAATTGTGACCTGCCTGCAAGATATGCTGGGGCGATTGTGGCACAAAGTTTGTGGGAGTAACCATGCAATATCTGATTTGCTTGAGGCCCACACCATGAGACAGAACCCATACCAAACACTACTCAAGTGGACAAGAACTAGATGTGTCATGGACTGAGGAGAAAACCAAATACTAGTGTTCTGCTTAAAGAATGTAGTAATAAAATGACTCCCAATGACATTCTGGTATATTCATAAATAAGTGCCTTGTCTAGCCATCAT